CATTCTGGCCGAAAGTTGTAAGCTGAAATTCAGGAAGGCAGGAAAATAACTTTTAACTAAAGATTAACTATTAGAAGAATTAACATAAACCTTACAGCCATATTCTTATTAAGACACGTTAAGAATACAAAACTGAAATTGGTAACAGTGACATCTCAGTTTGACTCAAGTATGTCATGTAGTCACAGCAGGTGACATTTGTTGCTGAGATGTTACCCGTTCATGGATTAGAAGGGGGAATTTAGATATGCTTTAGGCGGCATGTCAGTCTAAGCGATTTCGACATTTTCTCAAGTTTCAACTCCTCAACCATCATTGTGCAATCACGGACGACTTGTGTTGAGCAGGCGGTAGGTCTGGTAACCGCCTAAGTCAGGTAAAAAATACAAAGGAATCTAGGAAGTGTTGCACGTTGTAAACACAAGTTATAGTGCATTATTCTGTTGGTAACTGGCTTCATGCAGGATTTAAAAGAAAACTATAGTCTACAGCACCTCAGCGATGTGACATTTTGAAATGGATGAAAACCTGTTGAGTGAGAATGGAATCCAGTGTCACACCCGGTGTCAGACCGGCATCGGTACTTATAACGCAGAGTCTACGGTGTTTATCATCGTCCTAATGCCACATACGAATGCAATAATTCGTATGTGGCATTTGTACTTATATGAGCTATTTGTATACTACTATATGAGCCATTTGTACCTCTACCCGCTGCGTTCTGAGTTTCAGTGCAGTCAAAGGTAACTTAAAGGCAATTTGCGAAAATTCGTCTATGCTTCTAGCGACAGACGTCGAACCCTACGTGCTGAGAATTAATGCACCCTAATTCTTAAGCTGGGTTTGTGATGTAGCTGGTCGATTCATAATAATCATGCATTCTGTATATTCTGTAATATATGATCTGTGACGCAATAGGATGGTTGAGATGCTTCACTTCAATGAATTCGTTTCTCCTTACCACACTAATTTTACATTCGGTTAACTTTGGCCGCAAAAAAGTCCGGTATCGACACCTATTTCTCTGAGTGATGATCTGCATTATCAATATGCAACAATCTTCCGTGATTGACATGAGAAACGTTGCTGTCTTGGTGGCATGTTTTGCTCATAGAACGAACTTTGCTCTTTAGGCGGACTGGGTTGCTCGCGTATTTCACCTGCTAACGTGGTAGCCATATACCTCTACAAGCAGAAAGTAAGCCGTTTTTGAACAAATATTAGAAGCATATATCATTCCGATACATAACAGTGGTTCTTTGTTAACCCTCACTTAGACTGCTTGACTCTTATGGTTTGTATTTGGTGTTGTGCAGCCTGTTCTTTACATTTTCTCCCACGCTTATGAAAACGTTAAGCCGATTAGATGCATGTTTCGTAGTGTTGCACGTTTTATGGCCAGCAGTGAATTTACTGTAATTTTGACGTAGAAATAATCTAATGCCTTACAGTTTTATATGTAAATTAATATGTTAAATAATTTAGAAACAGCGTGTCTGAATTTTTATAATTCAATCATAGCACATAATGTTTTACCGCAGCAAATAAATTTAAAATTTAAGCTCATTTCTCTGAGCTTCCAAATCGAGATAATGCGAAGTTTCACTAATACGAACTTGAATAAACTCTTCACTAGTGAGAAGCTGAATAGATGCTGGGTTAAATATTTCACTAGAGAGAAGAATACTTACTTATGTCATTTAATTCTTGAAGAAAAATATATTTAATTGCAAACCCATTTTAATTATTTTCAGAACTCATTTCTGTAACAGACCTGTTATTTTTTCTCCATATGTTTAGCGAATGCCAAGAAAATTCATTTCCTTATGACCACGGGGAACAGAGTTTTGCTTTTTGTGTCCTATTTTCATCCAAATGTTTTCGTATGAAAACTATTGAGACCAGATTTTAATGAGTAAAACATTTCATAAATAAGACATCATTTAGAGAATAGGGAGGATGAACTAATATCGTTTATTTTCAATACTTCCGCGAAAACTAGAAATTTAAAGAGTATAATGATCCCTTGTCCATCCTCCTAGAAGAATGCTTGTCGGGAAAATTGTGTTATTTTGTCCTTTTCATCAATGAAGGCGGAAGTATTTGTTTGACTGCTTTTTCGTGAGACAGAATAGATTTACTGCCGTATTTAAAAAGGTAAAGAAGTCCTTTTATATATATATATAATTAAATGATATTCTAGCATTTCATTAGAGCAGCGTCGTGATCAATATTGCTATCTGCTTTAAATTTAGAGTACGAGGCAGCCCTACATTGACAAAGTTCTTCCTCTTTGCTAATATTTTTACTGCAAAACATAGTCATCAAAAGAAGAACAGAATACATTATATACATCACTTAATTTAAGTAAAATTTCCTTATTTACAGAGATTTTTATAGGTGAAGTTTTTAGACAAAAAACATTATTAAAGGAGGTCTTTTTTTTCGTAAACATTAAATGGAAAAGCATTATACATTAAAGTATAAGCAGTTTTCTTCATTTATTCACGCAGTGAAAAAGTATCGAATATACAACTGACGGTTGTAAAATTGATTCAAAGTATTTTTTTTACCCTGTTTCGGTTTCGATGGTAGCTGGATCCAAATTCGCAGAGTTTAATCAATGCCTTACAGACCGCGATTTTTAGAATTAGATGTCACTCTAGAGGAAAAAGCGGGAAATAAAGAATAAAAATATCGCAATTGTTAGTTTCTTCTGCAATTAAAAACCTGTGTTTCTTAGGACTAAGCAGAAAACTTGTAGAATCATTAGATTTTTGGATTCTGGAGACTTAAAAAAATTTGCAATGCCCTCGCAGGGACTCTTAACTCTGGATCTCTCGAGTAGGCTTCCAAATACACCACGAAGGCATGCCGAAAGAAGGGAGAAAATACTTCATATACTCCCCATTTTTTAAAAAAGGCAACTGGGGATTAGTGGAACCAGTCGCCAAATGCTGGTGGTGACGAATTATCGTTCGCCATCTTTTAGTTCCGGCTCTACAGTAGAATCATTAGGTAATTTTGAAGAAAGAGACATGAAACTGTGCACTGCCGTCACCGGGCCTCGAACTCTGGACCTGTCGAATAGGCGTCTAGTATCCTTCCAATTACACCTCGAAAGCATTCGGAAAGGAGGGACAAAATACCTTATAAAGTCCGCCAGAAATTTACAAAGAAATGGCTGAAGTGTTTGGTAGTAATTATCTGGAACGCAACATGTATCCTGATGGTGAATTCTCCGATTCAACATCCCAGCGCAAGACTAACTAACATGGGATTTTTGCGGTTATTTCTCATGTACTCCATTTCCAAGAGAAACCACTTTTCCATCGCTGCAAAAACATCGTGGACAAAAACGTCGCAGAGAAAACAACGCAAAGCGAAAACTTTATCATGGAAACCATCGTGGAAAAAAAGAAAACATCGCAGTTCTCAAACACCGTGGTACAAAATATCGCCGCCGAAAATAAAGAGATTAAAAAATTCCAGAGTTTAATAACATCATAGTCTAAAATACCTTAGTAAAAAATGAAGCATTTACAAATCATCGCATGACGATAGCATCGCAGACATGCTTTTCCCAGGCTTTAAAAAGTTGTAAATGCATATTCGCATAATGATTTGGGATCTTCCTTTTTCTAACCATTTTAAGATTATATTTTTCACGAAAAATTAGCAGTAAAACTTTATAAAAAAAAGATTAATTTTATTAATGACCTTTGTTCCCATTTAGTCCACCAATTTAGCCTGTGTGTACTCTACCCTAACCAATTTATAAGATTTGGCCTTCTTAAGTAGCATAGAATTAGAGTAGAACTCTAAAAGACAACTTGCGAATTTTCCATGTATCTTATAAATAACGCAGAGATAGGGAAAAGATGTAAAGGACCTTTTTTAATCCAAATAAAGTTTAACAGACGGCACCAACTTGTGCTTACAGAAGCCAATAGCTTTGGCTTTAAATCAAATGAGTAATGAGTAAGTATAGTAATGAGTAAACTAAAATTAATGGAATTTAAGTATAGCTTGACGGCTTCATAGTTTAACTAACGCGCAAGCTGACTCTGATCAAAGTCAGCGTAAACAAGCCTAATGGCAAGACCAACTCAAAAACCATAGAATACTGATGGCTAGAGAATAAACGTAGCTTACAAGCAGGCAGAACAAGCTTTTATTTCATACTCCAAAACCTTCCTTTGAATAGTAATGTATGAAACCTTCCTTTGAGTAGTAATGTATGAAACCTTCCTTTGAGTAGTAAAACGTATGCCATTTTTTTCCTTTGAATGCTTCTTTCTTTCTACCTAATTTGAATATCGCGCGCGCTGGAAATTGACATTCTGGCAGGGAAATGGAAACAAAGCTTTATAGAAAAGGAAATAAACATATAAAATATTTCGTAAGTAACTTAAATTATACTTTATAAGTTAACCAGCAAACAGCTTCCACTCAACTGAAGGAAATCCAGTCCATCATCCGCAAATAACTGTCTTTCCAGGAAACCGACATTTATGCACAAGATATACTGAGATTTACGAACGTCTGTCCCGTCATTTGTCGCTAACATATTCGAATAGTCTTATATTATCATATGCTGTAGAATTCTGCTGTCATTTATGATATTTTCACCATAGTTATTTTGAACTATAATTACCTTGTTCATAGAAGCTCTCTTTATACCATTAATTATTTGTGCTACAATATTTGCAACTTATTCCTGTGCTTTTTATCTTGAATGAAATCCTGATACACTCCGCATTGATCTGCTACAACAGTTAAGGACCAGTATTTTAACATAGCGCTTCCTCCTTCTAACAACTCTGAAGCAAACTGTACAGAAGGACTTGTTATCCAAACCGTGCTTTAGTTTAAAATGTTATGTATGTCTTGAGAACTATAAAACCCTCATATTTCTTTAAAGAGAAATTCGTGTGTTGTCATAATGTCACAGTTTTACTGTTTTTTCATTTCTGAAAGATGATTTTAATCTTTTGCAGGGAAGACTTGTGTAAACATCATGGATCATGTGATACGCTTGGTAAGTTTCTCAATAAAAGCCTTTTTTAAATTTATACGTATATATAAATATTTTGATAATAACTTTTTATATTTGTATATCTGCCAATAGAATCCATACAAGATTTCATAAACATTTAAGTATATTTATTTTATTATTAATTTAATCCCTTACCTTACGATTTATTTTCAAAGATGCAGCCGTGTACAAGAAATTTATTTTAGCGCATCTCTGTACAAAGTTATCACAAAATAAAATTAAAAATTTCCAGTTTTTGTTGAAACATTTTATATGGTTTTTAAACATCCAGGTATACGGCGTACGTTTTCCACCAAAGTCGAATTTGGCAGAGAAAAAATATGTGGGCAGACTCATCATTTCCACTTAAGGGGTTAATTAAAACATTTAGTAAACAAATTAAGCAGTCTTTTTGTTCCGTTTTATATTGCATTAATTATATTCAGAGAAGAAATCTCCTTTTTGAAGCATTATTATTACACATTAATGACTGCTGATTGCTTATACGAAATTTACAGTTCTAGTCCTGTACTGAAAAATTTAAAGTATATATTTTTCTGCTACATCACACCTTTCACAGAATGTGTGTCACGTGTATCAATCAAGACGAGGGAATGCATAAGAATTGCAGAAACATAAAACTACGATGTAAACAGCTAACGGAAAAAAAAAAAAAAAAAAAAAAAACCATAGTTATGCCGAACGTTGCATCTTAATAAAAGGACACCTTCCTACATCACGATAAAGTTGTTGAAAGGTCAAAACTATTAGTCCACCAGCGGCCGAGCGGTAAAATCACAGAACACTGGTAGTTCGAGCGTGTTCAAATCCCTGCGAACGGACTAGCTGCAAAAGAATTATCTTGATTTTCCCCATGTGTAACGTTGATATGAGGCGGGTTTTCCCGAGAAACTCCTCCGATATAGCACTCTGCGCTCTTTTTGTTTATATAGCACTCTTCGCCTTAGTCAGATAGCCATCGTGTCCTTTGCCGTAATCTAAATAACCCTAACCCTGAAGCTGCAAAACAATGGAAGCTTCATTTCTGCTTCATCATCGGCGGCGGCTGAGGCTTCCATGGTTTATCCCTCAGTGTTACGCTTGAAATGGCCATTCTTCCATGGGAAAATCTCCCAAGGATTTATCCCTTCCAAGGCCGATAACTTTCCAGCAATAAACAGAGAAACGTCAAAATTAAATACCTTTTAAGAATATTCAGATTCTGCATGACGTTCAGGAATATATAACTCATAATTTTCACCCCAATAAGAACTTTTTCATTTAGCCGCTCGGAATTTAAAATCGAAAGTATTTCTGCAATATGGACTTCTATCCAAACATCTCAGCTTTCCTCGCCGTTTGTTTATTTTCTCGAGTCCATTCTCACAAATATGCATTCTTCGCCATTCAAGGAAATATATGCTCATAGCCCCTTAGTTACGCTTATGTATTTGAGTGAAGTTGAAAGTATGCTAACAAATAAATTGTTTTACATAATTATAACTTCAAATTACTCGATTTATCTAATGATACTTATACCTTTTATAGACTTTTATTGATTGCAGTCAAAAATTTATAAAATACACATGTTTTATATTATTCGCATATCTACGATTACAAATCGAATCTACGAATCTATCTATAAAAAGTATAAATCTAATCGAAATCGTTCCTTCCACCGTCATACTTTGTAGAGACATTAAGTTATTTTGAAGCAGAAGCTGTGTAAAAAGAGCAATGCCCTCGCCCTCGGACCAATGGACTCGAACCTCGGACCTCGCGAATACGCGCCGAGTGTGCTGACCGTTACACCACGAAGGCATGCTAAGAAGGCGGGATAAATACCTTATAACTTTTTCTACAGTCATAAACAGGTATTTATATTAATTACTTCTGCAGTCTGTGCCCTACGCAAAGTAGATGGAAAATGTGGCTACGGGCTCTGTTATTTTATAATGATCCTAGACATGAAGTGAATTTATTTTAATTTAATTTTTTAATTTTTTTACTTTATTTTTAGAATATTGCAAAATTTGCATAAAAACCTTAAATAACTTTTGTATTTATGCAAATTTAACAAAGAGTAGACTTCATTAAAAATTAAAAGGATTAAATTGAACATAAGTTGCATTTCTAACTTACTTTTTTTATAAAGAAAAATTCTTTAAAAGACCCGTGTCATATTTAATTAAATAAAGCGTACCCTTTTGGGACAAATATCAACACTGCATTTTAAATTACGTTACTTCTGCAGTAAATAACGTGGACCTTTCAGTGGTAGTTTGAATCATGTAATTGCTTTTTTCTCCCCAAGCACTATATTAGGACAATGTGTAGAGTCATTAGGTTATTTTGGAGCAGGAGACATGAAAATGAGCAATGCACTCGCTGGGACTCGAGCCGGGACCTTTAGAATACGCGCTGAGTGTATTCTAGAGACTAATTACATTTACATCACGGAGGCATGCAGAAAAGAGGGAGAAAATACCTTATAAACGATGGTGCTTCCTTTTAATCGAATTTTTATAAAAAAAGTACAAAAATAAATAACTAAATAAATATAAAAATAATTTCAATAATTCGAAAAATATAGACAGAAGCAAGATGCAGTTTTTGAAAACGTGCACAGAGATACATGGTTTGTTTCTTAAAAAAAACGAAATAATTTATTGCCATAATAATTATTTTTTATGAGATTATTTAAAATCACAGGTATATAGAGGTCGACCGACGTTATTGGTACATTGAAATAAGTTAATTCTTAGTACTGTGCAGGTTCTTAATATTGCGACATATTGTGACTCTTCAGGGTTATGCAGAGTGTAATGTCGTATCTGGCTATCGTCACATTGAACATTTGTAATCCTAGCTGCGTTACGAATTGTTCTGTGGCATTGAGCGAATTTCTGACATAGCTGAAGCATCACCTATGAGTTAAGAAGTTGAGTTGAGTTGAGTTTTTGGAAATAAAATCCTTCATTATATCTATATAAAAAAACATGTCTTTCTGTGCATTTCTATGAAAACAGCATCATCCATGATTTTCGAATTACTGAATTTTTATTTTTCTGTTATTTTCGAATCGCCCTGTATATATAGCAGCATACACTATTCCTGCACGTACGATTTAAGGGATAAAATATTGGGAAAATACAATTGATCTTTCAAAACTCCAATTTGAACTGCCAGAGTTCGACTATACACCACTTCCCTTTCCCCCAAAAATATTACACTTGAAAAGGTTTTGGATATTTACTGTAGTTAGAAAGAAACTTGCAGAAGAACTACAAAATTTACAAATAATATTTCTTCTTTTTTAATACGGCCCCCTTTATTTTAACGTCGTCAAAATTACCGATAAATCGCCAATCGTCGCGAAGAGACCTAACTACGATCACTTAAGCCCCGTTCACAAGAGCAGATTCGACCGGTAGCGAAAACCGGTTCTTCCAACGTGTCCCGTTCACATGGGACAAGCATTAACTGCCTCGCCGAATTGGAGGTAGAACTTGGTTGAATGTTTCTTACCTCTCGGGAGCAGGGCAAATGGGGAGATTTCCCGTACTATACTGCGCGGTTCACTTAATTTTAGTTACTGCTCGCTGGACTGTCAGCGAAACAATCGCGCTGATAGATGTCTGGGGATCCTCCCCCAAATTAGATAGAACTGTACAAGATACGGAAATTATAGGCAAATACAGACAAGGTTATCTGATGCTAGGTTATCGTTCAAATTAAAACTAAAGTTAAAACAAGTGCATATCGGCTTCAACGCAAAAAGGGACTCGGTACCTTTTGAATGATTTTTTTTTAAATTTAAGCATTTTCATAATTCTGAATCATCCATTTAATAATTATGAATATTATTAAATGGTTTTGTAAGACAAAATAATTTTAAGCTGAAAAAAAGTTTTTGCTAGCATTTTTTTTTAATTTAAATTTTTGAAGAAAAATTTTACAATTAAAATGTCTTTCTTCTCCTACAATTTTCAATGTCTCCCCTCCCAGTTTTTTTATTGTATTTATTAGAGTGTTCGTAATAACTTCAAGGAATGATTTTGCAATTAATGAATTAGTTTCTGAGAAAAAAAAATACACTTTTATCTAAAATCTTTAAAACAAATATGATCTCAGTCACATTTTCATTTAAATAATTTTTTCCGAAAGTATTTTGCAAAATCCATCCTTGTTTCTATATAATTTTATATAGAAACTATATAATTTTATATAGAAGTATATAATTTTATATAGAAGTATATAATTTTATATAGAAGTACTTGTTTCTATATAATTTTATATAGAAGTATATAATTTTATATAAGCAGTAAAAATAATAAAAAATTTAATCCATACGTGTATATGTTTTAGGAGTAAAAGGATTTATTGCATTTGCAGTTTAAAGAATTCAAACTGTCTAAATAGACATTTAATCATTTCAAATCTTTAAAATTTTATTACTGAATTTCAATATACACATATGTATATAAATCAAACCTAGTGCTATTTATTCAATTGGTAAATATAAACATAAATTACAATCCTTTTTTTAAAACCTTATGTGGCCAGAAAAATTGCAAAAACTAATAAAACGCAAGCAGAATTTTTCTTTACCTGTTTTTGTTTTGTAAAACACGTTCAAAACAATTTTAATACATTAATTATTTATAATATTGCTGCTTGCGTACGGGTTTGTAATAGATTGATAATAGTTCGTAAATGATTGTCATTGCACTCAAATCCGATGATAGCTTAATTAAGTTTATTTTATCAACATAAACACTTCAAAGTTCTGGAATTTTCCACAGAAATACTCGTACAAGTGTTTAGCATATCACTAAGTATAATCAGTAGTTATGCTTCAATCTAAAGAACGTTAAACACAACGGAATGCAAAACGCATCTTAAGAGAAAGTTAACTCAGAAATATCTCCAATCTCACGCTGAACTAACAACTGGTAACAATAACAACTTATATAGCGTAAATAATGTCATAAAAATAGTGT